TAAATAAATTGGAGGCTAGCAACATGGCTCAGTGGTTAAGAGCGCTGGCTGCTCTTGCAGAGGACCTGAGTCCTACTCCCTACAACCACACGGTGGCTCACAGCTGCCTGTAACTCCTGTCTTGGAGGATCTGATGCCCTCTTCTGACCTTCACAGGGACCTTCACAGGCACACACATGGCAGGCAGACACACAGGAAGGCAAAATATTCATACAAAACAATAAACAAAGATAAATTTTTAAATAAGAATGGAATCTTTTAAAAATCTCGTTCTAAGGTTCTCTTGTAGGCTGAGAGAACAAACAAAGGCACGAACAAAGGAGACTCAAATCACAGCACCCGCCCAATAAAGTAGAACTATGACTCCCTTATTAAACGTCTCAAGTCTACGGGGAGCCGAGACCCAGCACAGAACACTCATTTTCAAGCTAGTTTAACCAGCTCTCGGAGTGGATCAGGAGCCGCTGTCCAAATGCTCAGATTCTCACTGTAGCTCTCTCCATGCCTCAGTATCCTCACAACAGCTGATAATGAGGAATCCTGAGAATTTAAAATATTTTAAGGGCCTATTTTCAAACATTGCTGGCACTTGACACTAACTCTAAAAATATAAATTCCTTTCTAATGGTCAGTTCTCTGGATTATGTCTTCAAAACTATTAGAAACACGCATGAGACTTACGCTGAAGATATGTTCAAGAGACAGTAACAATAGTACAAAATTGAAAATAAGCTCAATAGGTGCATATATTAAGTAAAGTTTGGCAATTGTAATAGCAATTGTTTTTATTCCTTGAAGAGTCTCTAGGTTGATACTTCAGCGAGGTCTCCTAGGACCCATTTTATCCTCAATTTAACCCCCCCCCCCCCCCCCGGGAATTTGAGCAATGGAGATGCTAAGTTGCTGGTCCGAGGTCAAGTGTTCAGGAAGTAGCCGTGGGCAGCACTAAACGGAACTAAAGAGCAGGCATGGTCTTCTTGAGACGGCGCACTCCGTGGGTCCATTGGTGAGAGCACCGTAATGAAGGGTACTATATAACCGCAAAATACAAATCACCCTGCACATCAACTTCAAGGCATTATGTTAAGTGGGAAAAGTTTAAAAATAATAGCGTGTAGGGTCTATTTATCCAATAACTTCCATGCAACAAACTACAGGATGGGAAGACTGACGGTGATTTCTAGAGTGAGGGATGGTGGGGAGGAGAGGGAAGGCATGACTCCTAGAGGTCACAAGGTCATGGGGGGATCTTTGTAGAGATACACAGTCATTTCTCTTACAGTTTGTTTGCTTTGTATGGGATGGTTTGTCTGCATGTATGTCTGTCTGCACCACTTGAGTGCCTTTTGCCTGTGGAGGCTGGAAGAGGGTAGGATCAACCCCCTGTAGCTATAGTTACAGGTCACTTCGAGCTGTCATGTGGGTACAGGGAACCAAACCCAGGTCCTCTGTAAGAGCAGCAAGGGGGTTTTACCCATGGAGCCATCTCTCCAGCCGCTGGTATTACATCTTGAAAGAGGCTATAGCTCCCCAAGGCTACACACCTGATGAAATGCCTCACAGCTACACACAACCTACAGTATTCGTTTCCTGGTTTTGATGGGACACAGCTACTGGAAGAAACTGGGACAACGTACACAGGCTTCATTGCACTATTTCACAATTCCTTGTCAGCTCAAAATTGTTGTAAGATAAAACTTACAGAGTAGCTGGCTACCATGGCAAACACCTTTGATCAAAGCACTGGGGAAGCAGAGGCAGGTGAATGTCTGTCACTTTGAGGGCAGCCTGGTCTATATCTGCATGGAGAGTTCCAGGCTAGTCAAGGCTACAGAGTTAGACTCTGTCAGAGAGAGGGGAGAGAGAGACAGAGAGAGACAGAGAGAGAGACAGAGAGAAGAAGGGAGAGAGGAAGAAGTTACAAAGTAAAATAAAATATTTAAGTCATTTTTAAAAAGTCAATTAAGAAAGTGGCTAAATTCACCTCTTAATAATATGCTCTTTTATGTTTACCCTTGCCTAATTTTCTCTAGTTCTAATGTCTCCATTTTATTGTGAGCCAACAAAATAATTTTGTGAAGTATTAGGTATTAGTGGAAAACAATAAACATGACTTTATTTTAAGCTTAGAGTTGCTGCGTACACCTGTAATACCAGTACTCTCGAGTCAGGACAAAGGATCAAGAATTCAAGGCAACTCTGAGCTACACACACACACACACACACACACACACACACACACACACACACACACACATTTTGATAAATATTAAACTATGAGGGAAGTGTTTACAGTAAAATGTTAAGGTGAAGGCTATGGATGTAGCTAAGTTGGTAGCGAGCTTTCCTAGCATAAGGCCCTGGGTTTGGTCCCCAGTACGATACAAACAGGTTAATGATGGCTCACTCTGCTATCCCTGTACCCAGGAGGTAGAGGTGGATGATCAAAAGTTGGGTGGCATCCTCAGTTCTTTTTATTTATTTATTTATTTATTTATTTATTTATTTATTCTTTTAATTTCATTTTACATTCCAACCAGAGTTCTCCCTCCCACCCTTCCTCCTGACCTCCTTACCTCTCCCAAGCCCATCCCCAGTCTACTCCTCCTATCGGGTAGAGGCTCTCATGAGAAGTCAACAAAGTCTGACATAATAGGTTGGGACATGGTCAAGGCCTTCCTCATACCTTAAGGCTGAGCATGGCATCCCACCATAGGGAATGGGCTCCAACAAGCTGGCTCACAGACCAGGTTTGTATTGTGGTCCTACTGCCAGGGGCCCCTCTCATAGTTCAAACTTCACAATTGTCCCCCTCATGTGGAGGGCCTAGTTTGGTCCCCTGGAGTCTCTACCGCTGTCAGTCTAGAGTTCATGAGTTTCCATGAGCTTGGTTCAGTTGCCTCTGTAGATTTCTCCATCGTGATCAGGCAAATGGATAGAACTAGAAAAAATCATCCTGAGTGAGGTAACCCAGACTCAGAAAGACAAACATGGGATATATTCACTCACAAGTGGATATTAGATGTAAAGTAAAGGATAACTAGACTACAAGCCACAGCTCCAGAGAAACTAGGTAATAAGGAGGACCCTAAGAGGGACACATGGATAGCCCTGGGAAGGGAAATTAGATGAGATCTCCTGGGTAAACTGGGGGATAGGGGTGGGGGTGAGGAGAGGGAGAATGAGAACATGAGGGAACCAGATGGTGGAAAGGGAAGTATGAGGTGGGAGAGCAATGAGAGAGATAACTTAATAGAGAGAGCCACTGTGGGGTTAGGGAGAAACCTGGTGCTAGGGTAACTCCCAAGAATCCACAAGAATGACCCAAGCTGAGACTCCTAGCAGTAGTGGAGAGGGTACCCGAACTGACCTTCCCTAGTAATCAGATTGGTGAATACCCCAGCTATCATCATAGAGCTTTCATCCAGTAATTGATGGAACCAGATGCAGAGATCCACAACCAAGCACCAGGCCGAGCACAGGGGATCCAGGCAAAGAGAGGGAGCAGAGAATATATGAGCAAGGGAGGTCATCATCCTCAGATCTATAGTGAGTTTGAAGCCAGTCTGGGATACATGAGATCCTGTCTCAGAAACAAAGATCTCTTGAAAACTTAATCAATAGGCCTGCAGAGATGGCTCAGCTGCCAATGCACTTGCCAAGCAAGCATGAAGACCTGAGCTTGACTCTATTAGAACTCACAAGACACAACAACAACAAATTGAACACAGTGAATGCCTGCAATCTCAGTGCTGGGGAGGCAGAGTCAGGAGGTTCCCCAGTCTGTCTATGCAGATCTATGAGCTCCGGGTTCAGTGAAAGCCTGGGTCAAAAGCTTAGGTGGACAATGACACAGGAAGATACTCAAGTTGAACACACACACACACACACACACACACACACACACACACACACACACACACACGCACACACCACCACCACCACAACAACAACATAAATAAATAAATAATAGATAAATGTTAAGGAGAAGCAGTATACAAAGTCTCGTGGCTTCACTTCTGCTATGCTTGTGTGCTTGTGGGTGGTGGGTGGTGGGTATAAAGACAAAATTTCAATCAAAATAGTGGCTTTCTCCAAGCAAGGAGTTTTGGATAACTTGTGTTTCTTCTTTTATGCCTCTCTATATATTCTGAGCTTCTGTTGAGTGAGAACTGCCAGGATCTTCAAAGACTTCAACAGACCAGTCTTTAAAGTTGTAAAAAAAAAAAAAAAAAAAGCAAGGGAGAGCAGGATTTACAAGAAGAGGAAGAAGAGGGTTTGGTTTCTCTTCACAGTTAGATAAGAGGCAGGAAACACAAATAGAAAATGTCGGAGAGATAGTGCAGTCTGAAAAGTCGGGAATAATGGAAGGGAATTCGGAGTTGAGCAGAAAGAGCAAAACAGAGGAAGTGCTGATTTAAATCCTGTGTGAGGGATTCATCACGGAATAACATGACTGAGGATCTGAAGTTCTCAGAAGAAATGAATGTTCACAGCGTTGAACCCAGTAGCCACCGTCTCCACGTGGGGGTGTTTCAAACGCACTGTGGAAAACCAGCAAACACGTACAACTTTTAGGGCCATCCAGGGCAGGCCTATCTGCAGCACCAGATGAGCCTGACTCAGGCCCACCTTAAGATTGCATCTCCCCAGCTGCTCTGCACATGCCTCTGGTATTGCTCACAATGCAAGCCTGGGGCTCCAGATAATGGAACTTGGCCCCAAGCACTACCGTGCATGCTTGTTCCTGCCATTCTGGGAAAGCTGAGGCTGAACTGCAGAGCCTGACCCTGAGCAAACCCTTGGCATTCCCCTGGATACCGACTAGATAGGGCTCGGAGGGGTTTTGCCTTTTTAAGATTTGAAGCTGACTCGCGTTGGAAATCTCTGTGTGCCGCTCGCATCTCACTCTTGAAGAGGCTTTACAAAGGAGCAGGAGGAAGCTGCCGGTTGTTGATGTTCAACAGAAGTCCCAGCTGCTGCTGCGGCAGGAGCAGAACCTCTAGAATGCCAAAGGAGGGCTCTGGAGTGCGCTTCGGGATGTGGCTTTCAGGGCAGCCGTGGGCTTCTGACACACACAGCAGCCGCTGCTGTCCACTGACCGGTAGATCCAAGAGGAGGCTTCTACCTAGTACTGAGGACCGGAGGATGAGGCGGAGGCTTCCAGGAGGACAGCTCACACCGCTGCTGCTGTTGCTCTGCGCCCTGCAGGCACCCGCGGGGAGCACTAAGGTAGGAGCAATCAAAAAGTTTCTCTCTCTGTGGCCCACGTGACCTACACTCCAATAGCATATTCACCTGGGGGTCACCTAGGTGCTTAAAAACTTAGGCACTGGCAATCCTAGAGCAAATGACGTTAGTGAAGAGTGGGGGGAACAATTGGTATTAAAAATAAGTTTAAATTTATCATTCATAAATCTGGCGTGATGGAAGTAAGGACCGTGGAGCTATTTTCCTGACTCTGTGAGTGTTAAAATACTGTTTCCAAAGGGCAAATCATGTGAAAAGAGTCTCTTTGACTTGAAACGACGTATAGAGACTTTATGGAGTTTCGCGTATTCTAACTTAAGATCTATGTAGTGAAAAGGAGCTAACGACAACAGAGGACACGGGAAATATTTGAGATCTGGTGCCATGTTAAAAGTGTGATAGATAGAGGTCACTGTAATATCTGACAGAATGTGAGGCTTGGCTTGGCTTAGGTGAATGGAAGCTTATTCTAAAATCTGATGTACTGGTTAACATCACTCAATCAGTCTTAAAAGCTGGAACTAGATAATATGCAACTAGACAGCATGTCACCCTAAATCAGAGTTAAAAATACCAAATCGTGTGCTTTTCTGGTTCCACTCCCAACAACACTGACCTTGGACAGAATCTTGCCTTTTGATGAGCACTGTTCATGAGAAAAGCCTCATTGCTTTGCCAAGAAATAAGCATCTGTTTGAACATAGGTGATTCAAATAAGGTTCTCAGTAATGAGCTGATGGGGCCCGGTGACCCTCTTTTCAAGTCGCTAGCTTCATTTCAGCACTCTCTCAGCAATACTCAAGTGTTCCCCAGCACAAAGGAGCATGCTCTCCAGCCCCTCACTACAAGAGGAGGGACTCCCCTAGGCGCTGTCCCTCTCTTCACTTTCCTGCCCGCCTGCGAACACTGCTTTCTTGGGAAGATTTGGAAGAATAACTGCACACACAGAGTTCAGCTCTGCTCTCCACGATGGGACTTGGTTACTAATGTCTAAGGCATGAGGGCTTTTACCCCATGACAAGATATTATCAGAGAGGTCCCAGTCCTGCCAGCAACTGTGGAGACAAGTCTGACTGCATCTGGAATTTACTCTTAAGCCAACTTGCCACCAGACCCAAACCTGTATGCACCTAGGTGGCCTTATTGATTGAAGAAGAAGGATGATATTTCAGCTTCCATATTCGCCTTAGATTTTCTTTTTTATTTCCAGAATCTAAGTCAGCAAGAAGACAGTCTCTCTCGGAGAATCTGGCACTACTTATCACTCAAGGCTTTTCTTCAATAGAGTTAAAAGATTCAACATAGGATGGCTGGAAAGAAAGCTCAGGGGTTAACATGCTTGATGCACACACATGAGGACCTGCGTTTGAGTCCCTGGAACACACATAAAATCCAGGTGTGGTGGAATGTGTACCTAGAATCCCAGCGCTGCAGTGGGAAAGGCATGTGGGGACAAGCAGATTCCCCAGATCTCCAGAGATCCTGGGCCAACCACTCAGCTAAACTGCTGAGCTCCTGGCTTAGTGGGAGACCCTGTCTCAAAAATTAGAGTGGATAAAAATAGAGGAAGACCCATGACATTGATCTCTGGCCTCCAAGAACATGCCCGTGCACAGCAAGGTGTTGTATGTATGTATGTATGTATGTATGTATGTATGTATATAGATAGATTGATAGACAGACAAACAGACAGACAGACAGACAGACAACAGATTATTTTGTTTGAACTGGGTTAGGTGAGGTTGAGACAGGGTCCCATACTATAACCCAGACTGGCCCTGAATTCACTCTGTAGCCAGGTAGGCCTCAAACTCATAGAAATTTTATCTTAGCCTTCCAAAGGCTAGGATTATAAACATGAGCCACTACACCCAGCTCTTAACATTCATTGTGACATCCATGAGGGAATATGAAGAGAAACTGAAGGATGTGGAAAGTATAATTAAACCACAAGTATAATTAAACTATAAGGTTAGAGTTTTATTTCTTCAACAAATTCAAAATGTAGAAACACTATGAGTTCTACAGTACAGAACCCTTCCTCCCTGGGGAGATGAGCCTTTTATGACTATCCAGGCCAGGTAGGAATGGACGGACACAGCTTGGCCATTCCATGTAAAACACTGTAGGACACAACAATCTGCATTGAATAATGAGAATCAAGATTTCCTTTTTCTTCTAGGCAGCTCTTAAGGTCGACCTTGACTTGACACCAGACTCCTTTGATGATCAATATCAAGGCTGTAGCAAGCAGGTCATGGAGGAGCTAAGCCAAGGAGACTACTTCATGAAAGAAATAGACACTCATAAGTATTACTCCAGAGCGTGGCAAAAAGCCCACTTAACCTGGCTGAACCAAGAGGGGACCCTCCCAGAGAACATGACCACCGCACACGCCGTGGCCATCTTGGTCTACACCTCCAATCGCAATGTGAGCTCTGACTTTGCTACAGCTATGGCCAGGGCCGGGGCATCTCCCGGGCAGTACAGACAGTCATTCCACTTCAAGTATCTGCACTACTACCTCACCTCAGCCATCCAGCTGCTGAGGAAAGAGAGCTCCACAAAGAACAGGGACCTGTGCTATGAGGTCCACTATGGGATGAAGAACGTGAGGTTTGAAGTCAATGTCGGTGCCACTGTCCGATTCGGCCAGTTCCTTTCTGCCTCCCTGCTAAGGGAGGAGACACGGGTGTCTGGAAACCAAACCCTGTTTACTATGGTTACATGCCTGGGTACCTCTGTGCAAGACTTCTCTCTCAGGAAGGAAGTCTTGATCCCCCCCTACGAGTTATTTGAAGTTGTAAATAAAAGCCACAGCCCCAAAGGAGAGTTGATAAATTTGCGGTCTGCTGGGAACCTGAGCACATATAACTGCCAGCTGATAAAAGGTAAGCCTGCTCTACATCTGTATTTATCAGTCTTTGCTTGTAGGCGGTTTTCCTCATTTCCTTGGAGTGGGGGGCATGGAAACAGGGATACTGGCCTCCAGTGATGACTGAACTGACAGATTAAGTGTACTTTCTGCTTCATTTCCCATCCTCTAAGAAGAAAAGTCTCTGCAGTGGTAACACACCCATGGGGGTATGTTCCAGCAACCGCAGAGACTGGTTACAAACCTCAGGTACTACCAAACCCTATATGCACAGTGTTTTTTTTTACTATACATACATACCTATGATGAAATTGAGTTTATGATAAGCCAAAGGTTATTTAAATATTCACTCTCCCCACCCCAAAATATCTTATTGTAGTTTACTCTCTCTTCTTGTTGTCATGTGACACATGCAATCCATTTGTGAGGAGAGGACAACAAAGGTGTGACATGGGCGGGTAGCATATACAGAGTGGAAACCGCAGACAAAAGTGTGATTCCCACCCCAATCCTCACGGAGCAAGACTACGCAAGATTTCATCTTGCTACTCAGAATGATGCCTAATCTAAAATTTATGAGTTGTTTTGATGTTTCTGGAATTCTTCAAGGATAATTTCCAGACCGTAGTTGACTAGAAACTGATAACATTTTGAGAAAGTAAAATTGATGATAAAGGAGGATTTACTGTGTTACATTCAGCTTTTTATTAGTCCAATCAGGTACCTTATGCAGGCAAAGTAAAACAAACGCAACACATCTTTGCCTAATTAAACAAATATAGCACACCTTTACATAGTTAAAGCAATATTCTGCAGCAGAAACAAACGCGGCACACCTTTACATAGTTAAAGTAACAATACGCAACATTTTTTTCACCTTCTCAAACTTTTTTCTTCAGGAGGGAGGTCAGGGTCATTATATGAATAGGAAGCTCTCAAATGAACACAAAGAGTAGGATTTTTGCTTTATAGTCTTGTATTTATTAACTCTATTCTGTTACAACTGGATACCCTGGTAACACAGAATGAATCCAAACAAAATCATTATCCTGGGGGAATTTTAGTTTAACGCACAATGAAAGCAGAAACTAATTACAAATTTGAAAGTCCCAAGTGATACAGCAGATGTGTGAGCCGTGAGTGACAGCTAGTCCATGCTCTCCTTCGGGAGAAAGTGAGGTGGGCTTCCCCAGAGACAGCCATGTGGCACTTGAAATGGGCATAGAGACTTTCAGTGAGAGAGAGAAAATATACAGTGAAATCATGGGGACCTCTGGAGCCAATTGTGGCTGGAGCGTCGTGTGTGGGAAGGAGAGAGGCCTAGAAAAAGACTAGGGAGCTTATCCAGGCAGTAGGGTTTGGTGGACCTGATCAGCCTTGTGTCTACCTTACACTGTAGGTGATAAGAAGTCATCAGAAGTATGGAAGACAACAGCCAGGCGTGGTAGCACACATGACTCTAATTCCAGCACTTGGGAGACAGACTGGTAGATCTTAGTGAGTTCAAGGCCAACCTGCTCTACAGACAGATAGACAGAGCTATTAGGAAGACCCTATCACAAAAACAACAGACAAAAAACCAAACAGAAGCAACAACAAAAAGAGGTAGGAGGTTCAGGGCTGTGGTTGTAGCTCAGCTGGGAGGATGCTGACCAACATGAAGGCCTTTGGCTTGAACCCCAATGTGGCATAAAACCAGGTGTGGTGTTACAGGCAGGAAGATCACAAGTCCAGAGTCACCCTCTCATTACATCTCATTACACAGCAAGTTCAGGGCAATCCTAGGATGTGTGAGCCCTTCTCCATAAAACGGGTGGAAAGATGGCTCAGGGCTTAAGGGTATTGACTGTTCTTGAAGAAGACTCAGACTCAGCTCCTACTACCCACTGGCATGGTGACTCACACCCCAGCTCCAGCTCTCGTATCTTTTCTGGCTCCTGTGGGCACCAGGCATGCAAGTGGTACACAGACACACACACTCAGGCAAAACACTCCTACACGTAACATAAAATAAGCAAATCATTGAAAGTGCATAGTGTCCTAGGTTTCTATTGCTGTGATAAACAGTGTGTCCAAAAGCAACTTCTAGAAGAAAGGATTTATTATATATTACAGCTTGCAGTCAGCCCATCATCCATGGAGGTCAGGGCAGGAACCCGGAGCAGAGAGCTGATGGAGAGGCCATGGAGGGGTGCTCCTGACTGGCTTGTTCCCCATGGCTTGCTCAGCCTGCTTTCTTAAAGAATCCAGGACCACCAGACCAGGGATGGCACCACCCTCAATGGGCTGGGCCCTCTGCCATCAATCAATAACTAAGAAAAGGTACTCGAAACTTGCCTATACAGGCCAGTCCTACGGAAGCATTTCCTCACTTGAGAGTCCCCAGTTCCCTAATTACTCTAGCTTATGTCAAGGTGACAAAACACTAACCAGCATACACAATTTAATGGTCGGTGTTTTCAAAACAGCTCTGGGGATATTGTGGGAAACAACCTAAAAAAAAAAAAGGAAGAAAGAAAGAAAGAAAGAAAGAAAGAAAGAAAGAAAGAAAGGAAGAAAGAAAGAAATATTCAAGATATCACAAAAGACAAAAGAAGAACACGATCTTTAGAAAAAAAGTTAGTGATCCCATTTTCCCCCTTCGTGTTGCCACCCAGTTCTCCACTAAGGGTCAGTTCTGTAGCAAGTTCTGTGCTATCCAATGCAGGACAATGGTCCTCCCCCACATACAAGTGCAGGCACAGAGTCAGTCACAAGCCAGCTGCATCAGCTACCTTTGGGTTATTTCCCAGTCTCTCTCCACTCCTTCATCAGCCCTGCTGTTCATACCTCGGACTGAGCCCTGCTCAGTTCCATTCCCTGCAGTGTTATACAGGACTTCTCCAAGCTGAGGTCTAGCCTGCTCCCTCTGTCTGCACATACAGACCGGGAGAGGTGACCTGTCAATATTGTTATCTCCTCCCTCTTGCCCTTGGCAGCAATACAGATGGCATGAATATTGGCTCCACAGATCCAAGAAAGTTGTGTTTGTCAGAGCATGAAAAAGTGCAGAAGAATATGAAGAAAAGAACGATGCTTTGGCAATGAGTAATGACACACCTAGCCAGGTTCCAGGATTCTTAATGCACACCTGCCTAGGAGTAGAAGCAAGATGATCAGAAGGTCAAGGCCATCCTCAACTATATAGCAAGTTCGAGGCCAGACTGGGATACATGAGACCCTGTCTAAAAAAAAGGAAAAGGAAAAACATCAACTTGAAACATATATAGGAGACTAAGGAATATGTGTTGCCATTCTGTCAACTTCAAAGAAAAGTATTCCAGAACAAAACATCAATGGGAGACCACTTGCTTAGTATGCAAAGGTCCTGTGTTTGCTACCCAGTACTGCAAGAGAGAGAGAGAGAGAGAGAGAGAGAGAAGAGAGAAGATGCTTGGACCCCCTCCTCCTGCCACACACACACACACACACACACACACACACACACACACACACACACACACACACAGCTCTGCTGTCATGAAACCACTTAAACACAACTTTAACCTCAGTCTTGAGTTAAGACTTAACTGGGATAGCCACATATATTATTAGACATTGGATGTTTGGTTTGTCTTCATTGCATACTTGAAACCATAACAGACTTATGAAAATGGATGACCTTGTGTTTCCCTTTGTGGACAGGGCCTGGGGAACCAGGTATTCAAGAGCAAGGCAGGGAATTGGGCAGCTTGACCCCAGATCCACTTGTGTGACTCCTTAATCATCTGTACCACTCATTAGCTACATGTTCTTGGCCAAGTAGCTTAAGCTCTTTAAGTTTCTCTTCTACAGGATGAGCACCCGGGCTACAGTGGGTGTATAGCATGCTCGGGGCCCTGAGTCCAAGGAGAGCTATCACATAACCCCATAAGGCTTTTATGAAGATCTAATAAAGTAAGATGCTAAACTACTTAAACATTCCTTAGCAGATGGTAAATGGTAAGTCGTTGGTGTTAACTGGATATTTTAGTGCCCGACAGACAGGTCAGCCTCCTGTTGTTGAGTACATGGATCGTGGTGGAGGACTGAAACTTCTGTCTCCCAGTCACTGTATAAGTCACGAGTCTAGAAGTAGTTCTAATTCCTGAAGAGCTGAAGAAGATTATGGCAGGAGGTCCAACCCCTTCTCAGGAGAAAGGAGCTATAGTCAAGCATGAATTGCCTACAGTGTGGTCACTGGCAATATGTAATCATTTCTTTTGTACTGTAAACAAAAGACATTCGTTTTTTCCGAAATGTGTCAATTACAAGTTTGTGTAGCCTCCCAAAGTGAACTTAGAAGGGCTGGTGGCCTTGCAAGTGGGTGGACCACTACATTCTAGGTGACTTTTTTTTTTTTTTTTTTTTTTTTTTTTTTTTTTTTTTTTTTCCGAAACTGAAAAGGGAAGAGACATGTCATCTAAGAGCTGGCACTAGCATCTGGTGTCCTCCCAGCTGCCCCAACTATGGAAGTGTCTGGAAGGGTGAAAGGAGGGACACAGGCACTTGCTGCAGGGGAGGTGTGTGTGGGGAGGTCTTTCCTCCTTTGAGCACAGACTCTGAAGGAAAGTAAAGAGGAGACTGGCCCACCTCCTGGTGTTGTGAGACCCCCTCCCCCAGCCTCATCTGCCACAGTCTAGCTGCTCACCTTCTCTTTAGCTGAGGACAGAGTGTCTGAGGACAGTATGATCTTGGATTGGACACCATTAGCACCTACTTATCTTGATTGATGGGGAAAATGTAACTGGCTTAAGAACATTCTCAGCTGATCGCATCAGTGTTTTCGTTTTTTTTTTTTTTTTTTTTTTTTTCTGCCACCACCACACTAGGGGATGCTCTTGGGGCGTCTGTGTTCATTGATAATGCTCTAGTTATCCCACTTCTGAAACTGTATCTGAACGATCCACACAAGAACCCTGGGAGGAGAGGGGTGCTACCAATTGCTTTCTTTTCTTTTTAGACGAGGTCTCGAGAGGCTGTCCCAGAACTTTCTGTCTGTTCAAGCTCCTGACCTTCCTGCCTTTGCCTCCCAAGTGCTGGGATTACTGGCATGCACCATCATACCTAACTTAACGCCACAGATTTTTATCATGGCATTTCTTTTCCTAAGTAGGGTCAATGCACCCTCCCCAGACCTGAGTTTTGTAGATAGCTGCTACGGCTCACTTCTCCCACTAAGGTCTGTCTGGGAAACTCAGGGATGCTCTGGAACACTGATACCTAATTCCTCAGGAAACACAAATCCTCTCCCAAGACTGTTTCTCATTCTTCCATTATCTTTCCATAGCAAAAGCCACACGCTAGTGCACATCCCCAAAGCCCCTGTGAGCCAGGCAAGCTTGCTCTCTCTCCTCTTCCCTGTAACTCAAGAGACAGATTCTTTCTTTTTTTTTTTTTTTCCAAGACAGGGTTTCTCTGTAGCCTTGGAGCCTGTCCTGGAACTCACTCTGTAGACCAGGCTGGCCTTGAACTCACAGAGATCCCCCTGCCTCTGCCTCCCCAGTGCTGGGATTAAAAGTGAGAGCCACCATCACCTGGCAAGAGACAGATTCTTTAAAAGACAACACACAGCCAGACATGGTGGCACATGCCTCTAACCGCAGTGTTTGGGAAGAAGAGCTGGGGTTGGGAGTTTAAGGTCAGTCTTAGTTTATATAGGGAATTTGAGACTAGCCTGTGCTACAGGAGACCCTGCCTCAAGAAAGAGCAAATAAAAACAAAAACAAAACAAGAAAAAGAAAACAATGTTAAAATTAACCAGTTGGGATACTGTCTTTGTCTCAATGAGAAAGAGTATATTAAAAACAAACAAGCAAAACCTTACCCAGTCCTTTGGTTTATGTCAAAATAAACCCGTTTAGTCTTTCGAACTTGCAGCCCCCGGTCAAGTACCAAGGACCTGAATCATTCAAAGATAAGGCAAGGACTCAAACTGGTAACAAAACAGAATCAAGGGAGAAAATATGAAAAAGAAAAATTACATTATTCTAAAGTACCCTGTCTCCCTTCTAATTACTTTGTGGCCCCTCACATGATCTACACTGGTTACCATAGTAATATGTTTTCATGTTTATTAAAGGATTCAAACTATGCCAACAAAATGTTAATTTGTTTTTCTCCCTTGAGTAATTCCTTTCAGTAAAACAATGTATGCCAAACACACACACACACACACACACACACACACACACACACACACACACACACACTACACAATCTGCTCTTTATCACTGGATTTACAAAGAAGGATTTATGTCAAAATATTTCAAGTCATCAAAATTCTCAGCATGCTTCTAGAAAAACACAGCCAGCTTTTTGTAGCAGCTAGTTTTACCTGTTTTATCTTTGCCAGTGACAAGCAATAGTGTCGTGGTCCTGGGGGAGTGGCTTGGTCTCTGCACCTGTTGCTGTGCATGTATTAGGAAAGCCATTATTTAAACTTGCCCTGTGAGAGTCTGATGAGAAGAAAATGACAGCATGGAAAGGCCCTCTGACGCTGGCAGGAGTCAAACATCCAGCTTCTTCCCTGTTTCGTTTTACTCTGGGCTTCAGTTCTCTAGAAATACCTTCCTCCTGCCTGTAGTGTACCACTGACCTGGAAGTAGAGTGACTGTCTCGGGGAATGGGTAAAAAAATAATAGTAATAATAATAATAGTAATTTAGAGCTGCTGATAATGTCTTAGGACTGTAATCTTGGCACTAGGGGAGGCTGAGGCAGGAGAATTGTAGGCGGAGTTTCTCTGTGTCCCCCGAAGCTGCTCCCAAATAACCACACTGAGACTTATTGACTATAAGAGTTCTATCGACAGCTCCAGCTTATTGCTGACTAGCTCTTCAATTAACTTCAATTAACCCATTTATAGTAACCTACATCCTGACTCGTGACATTGCCTCTCATCTTGCAACTCGTGTTTCCTCTCCGTGTCTGGCTGGCAACTCCTCTGACTCCGTCCTTCTTCTTCCCAGTGTCTTTAGTCTGGCTCTCCTGCCTAACCTTATCCTGACCAGCCATTGGCCCATCTGCTTCTTTTTTGAACCAATCACAGTGACGCATCCAAACATGGTAAAGGATTATTCCACGGAGGGTTGCTATGAGTTCAAGGCCAGCCTGGACTACATAGTGAGCTCTAGGCTGAGACCAGGTCTGAAAGAACTGAATCTGAACTGTGGTGTAAAAAGTGAGTATGAAAGACCCCCCCCAAGACTCAGGCCCCCCCAGGATCTCAGTCCAGGACCTCGGTCACCCCAATCACCAGGCGGAGTCGAAAGCTTGATGCAAACTGCATGAGGGTTTATTATAGTTGTTTAACGAGCTAACCCCATGTTAGCTCGGGTCTTTCATCTCCCTGCCATGGTGGATGGCTAGGAAAGACAGCTTGAAGCGTCTGCGTAGAGATCTTATAGGGCAGCGTAAGGGGAGTGTCTAAGGGTATGAACAGGCTCAGGATTAGTGTGCCTCCAGGCTTGGAGGGCTTACCCTGTGTTGCTTGGTCAACTGGTTGATATGGCCCATAGGCCCTCCCAGGGTGGTTGCTATGCTCTGTGCGTCAGTGCTGTGCACTTGTCCGTAAAGCACACAAAGAGCTGTAAAGCATAGCACCACCAGCTAACTTCTGATCGGCTCCTTGCCACGAGGCAGGCATCTGGCCTCCTAGTGACCAAGGCAAGGTCAGGCAAGCACGTGTTCGGCTGTTATGGCTGCCGAAATGGGGAGCTGGTCCCTTCATGTGCATCAGCAGCTGTGAGGCCTCATGACGACGCCTGAACCTCGGAGCTGGTTCCTCTGCTTATGAAATGGAAACAGTGCTTGCTTATGGCAAGAACTTGGGTGTCCACTATCCACACAGACAGAAGAAGAAACTGGGAAACCCTTTGCACATGCAAGGGGGATAATGGGTTAATAGTATAAACACGAGCTTTAGAGAGATTGACAGTAAGGACAGAGACAGACACAGGTCTACTACATCTTAAATGCCCACTTTTTGCTAGGGAACAGTCTCAAGATTAACAGGAAGGAAAAGTTAATTTAACCTGGGAGGATGGCATAAAAAAATAATAGTAACTGGGGGCTGGAGAGATGGCTCAGCAGTTGTGTTAGTTACGGTTTCTATTGCCGTGGAAGAGACGCCATGACCACAGTAACTCTTATAAAGGAAACATTTAATCGAGGTGGCGGCTTACCGTTCCCAGATTTTGTCCATTGTCATCATGGTGGTACATGGCCGCGTGCAGGCAGACCTGGCGCTAGAGGAGCTGAGAGTGCTGCATCTTACAGCCAACAGGAAGTCAACTACAACTGAGCATGGAAAACCTTAAAGCCCGCCCTCTATGCAGTGACAGGCTTCCTCCAACAAGGCCCTGCCTACTCCAACAGCGCCACGCCTCCTAATAGTGCCACCCCCTATGAGATTATGGAGGCCAAGGGAATTAAGAACATGTACCGGTCTGCCAAAGGACCTGAGTTTGCTTTCCAAGAACCCACATCAGCCAGCTCACAGCTACCTGCAACTCCAGTTCCAAGGGTTCTGATGCCTCTGGCTTCCTCAGGCACCTGCCCTCGCCTGTACATACCCAGGAGCCACACGCAGATGCCACAGTTAAAACTAATAAAAATGCTTATTTTAATTATTATGAAGAGGGCTGAAAGAGGATGGACAGGATTATAGGGTAGCGACATCACTTTTGTGTCTGATGAAGCTAGAAGCCATGCATCCCGTAAATATTCGTTGAGCATGTCCTGTGTTGTGGAACTATCCTAGCAAGGGAATGGCTAGGTGAACGCCTCAGCCCTCAGGGAATTTCCATTCCAGTGTGACGAGGCAGACAACAAAATAAACTGTAGGTTAGTGAGTGGTAAGTGCTATGGAACAAAACTGAGCAGGATCAGAGGCTGGGGCATGCTGTAGGGGAGAGCTGCAATGTTAAAATGGGTGGTTAAGGAAAGCATCACAGAGGAGATGCCAGGAAGAAAGGGGCATGCAGGGGTGGGGTGCGGGGAGGAGAGTTAGTCTCAGAGGTGTCTGAGGAAAGAGCCTCTCAAAGAGGAAGCTGCCTGAGTGAGGCTGCTTCTGTCCTCACCTCACATGGGACATTCACACCCTCTGCTACAATGTTATCAATTACAAAAGAAGACGAGGAAAACAAAGCCCTCCTAAATTTGTTGTGAGGGTTAAACAGGTTCGCAGATGTCCATCAAGGATGAGTGATGCTGGCTAAGTCAGTAAAGGACGCATATTTTTACAAAATCAGATGTGGGGGCGCACATCTTAAACTGAGCACTGTAGGGGGGCAGGAAGCAGAGAGGGTAGACCCCAGAGCTGCACGGCCCACCATTCTAGCCAATCGGTGAGTTCAGGGTCAGTCAGTCTCAAAAAACAAAGTGATGGAGAAAGATGCCCAGGTTCGACCTCTGGCCTCCACACATATGTGTTCCACACATGTTCCACACAGACACACACGCAAACACATGATTTCAGATCAAACAAACCTTGCACAGGAGGCAGAAGCAGAGGGATCTCTGTGAGTTAGAAGCTACTCATCTACACAGCCAGTTCCAGACCAGCCAGAACTACTAGAGAGATCCCATCTCAGACCTGTGTGTGTGTGTGTGTGTGTGTGTGTGTGTAAAGATATTTATTTATTTATTATTTATTTATTTATAGGCAGTGCCTCACCACATAGCCCTAGCTGGCCTGGAACTTGCTGTGTAGACAGTCTGGCCTCAAACTCAGAGATCCACCTACTTCGGGCAGCCAAGTGCTAGGATTAAAGCCATGTGCCACCATGCCCTGCTTTAAAAATAAATGCTTAAAAATCTCTCCAATCTAACTCATCTCTAAGTTGTGTCTTTTTGTTTTGTTTTTTTTCCACAGCTTCCAGCAAGAAATGCACCCCTGATCCAATGGTTACTATTTGCCTCTTTTTGGTCAGTGTTATTATCTCTTCCAAAACCAGAGAGCAAAGGAATCCACTGGCTCCTTCTTAAAGACACTATTTAAACTTGTGATTATCAGAGTTAGCAGATTATCAGAATCTGAGGTCCACACTTCCCACTCTACCGCAGACGACACGGGAGACAGAAGTTGGTGGAAGAAAAGTTTATTCAAAAGCAGCCCTAACTAAGGCCGACGACTGTCTCAAATCCCCACTAAAAGGGATCTATATTGTTACTTCCTTGTTGCTGTGACCAAAACCAAACAAAGGCAGAAGCTCCAAGTTGGGAAGGAAAGCTTTACTTATAAACGTACAGATCATCATGGCCGGAAAGGCATGGCACCGGGAGCACCAGGCACTACAGATGCTTAAGTCCGCAGGGTCCCAAACCTCAAGCCCCTCCCCCTCCATGACTTACTTCCTCCAGCGAGGCTCCACCTCCTGAAGATTCCAGAGCCACCAGCAAGGGACAAAGTGCTCAAACACATTAACATTCAAACCACAAGGTCTTAATGTTCAAGGCACTCTACAGAAGAGACCGGAGTCCAGTCAGACCATGGGCCCTGATGTGACTTCTTTGCTCTGCCCTGGCAGGGACCTCACAAAGGACCACTCTCCCGCTGCAGCTGCCTAAGGAGAACTGGAAAAGGCCTTTATCACACTATTACTCAAGTGTGGTGTCCTCTTTGCCAGACGCATTCTTATCCAATCAGGACACCGCTTGCCTGATAGTTGGTCAGAGGTCCATGGTGAGAGAGATCCAATTAGAGCCTATGAGATACAACCAGGGTATGATTTCAAGATTAGTTTCAGGGGCACAGCAGGAATCTCTTTTGGGGGGGTGATTAGCAGAAACCGAGTACATGTGCATTCGGAGTTGCCACAAAGAGAAGAATTTGCCTCCCTGAGGCACTAACTCAATGGAGGCAGAGCTAAGAAATGGAAAGAATTAAGACAGGTGAGAGGGTGTGGGGAGCCTCTGGAGCCAAACTGTGTCTGGGGCATACATTAAGCTTCATTCTACAGGAAGCAATAAACGCTGTCTTTGCTAACATAATCTGGGCTGTTTTCTATCTCAAGCAACTGGGGAGGGTCGTGAGTACAGACTTTCACATTTTAAGTTAGTAACAAATCAAAGAAGACAGGAGCAGGAAAACAAACTATTTTTTCTTCAGAGATTTCTGTCAGCATTCAAGATCAAACCAGTGTAGACTTAAAAGGGAGGTGGGGGGGGAAGGCACGTGGAAACCTAAGAGAGAAAAATGGAATATAGTGGTGTTAGATGTCTCAGGCAGCACAGGGAGAAGGAAGACAGGAAAAGACAGTAGAGCCTGATCTCAATACACCGGACTGTTTGTTCCAAAACAGGGAAGGACAGACACTCTTCCCGTGCGAAAGGGGTGTCTGTGTCGGGAAGGACAGGCAGTGACTCCTTATAGTGGTGGACGGTGCTGCTTGCACCCTTCAGGGCTAGGGCAGTTCGCAGCCCCTCTTAGGATGCTGCCACCGGGCACCAGGGCAGTTCCAGGTGCAGGACAATTGCGATTGCACTTACGCAGCCACAGGGCGCCAGTGGCTGCAGCTCCCGCATTCTTTCTTTGCTACCTCTCTGTAAGAGTCTGACTCAACAAGATCAGTAGTAGGAATCCTGTCTTGTGACCAAGGCGTTCTATCAGCTAGCAAATCTCAACCATGTCTGTAGCAAGCTCCAACATGCATGTTCCTAAAACATCATTTAAAAAACCTGGAATTTAGGCATGTCACTTTAGAGACTAGATGGAAATTTTTATTTCAGATCTTCATAGGAAAGTATATGTTGGGGGGGGGATGTGTGTGGAAGTCAAGGGGAGAATATGGAAAACACTGGTTATCAAATTACTGGAATATCTGAGCTCCATTATGTACTATGAGATGCAGAATGTAAATTACCAAAATTCACAACTGGAAACACGCTCCAGCCTCTCCCTCGGCAAGTGCACAGCTTAAGTTCGAACCTGATCTCCAAAGGCCCTGCCATTGAGGTGAATGGAGTAAGAAGTGCGGGGTGACTTTGAACTCTGATTACATTATGCAGTTCTTAGCCCCTAGAGAAGACTGAGACAAAAAGCATCCGAAGTGGAAATCAGCTCATCTGTCCCAGAGGGGAGTGTGGGAGGGGCCATGCTATAATCCAAGAAACAGAATGGATAGCTAGCTATGGCAACCACCCATAAGCACACTGTCGTCCTACAGCTGGGAGTTCCAGACCAATAGGTCTGACTTAGAGTTACGACTGCTGCAACAGAACACTGTGACCAAAGCAAGTTGGGGAGGAAAGGGTTTGTTCGCCTTATTCTTCTACAGCACTGTTTATCATTGAAGGAAGTCGGGGCAGGAACTATAAAAGGGCAGGATCCTGGAGGCAGGAGCTGAAGGAGAAGCCATGGAGGAGAGATGCCTACTGGCTTACTCCTCATGGCTTGCTCAGTCTGCTTTCTTATAGAACCCAGGACCACCAGCCCAGGGATGGCACCACCCACAATGGGCTGGGCCCTCCCCTATCAATCACTTAATTAATAAAATACTCCAGGTATGCCTACATCCCAATCTTATTAAAGCATTCTTTTTTTTTTTTTTCAATCAAGGTTCCCACCACTCAAATGAATACAGCCTGTGTCAGGTTGGCATAAAGATATCCAGCACAAGGAACAAGAATTTCCACAGACAGTTCCTGTTAACCTTTGCATAGGGTCTTTGGTGGCTGTCTAGGAACAGCTCAGCCGTGAGCACTGGGGGTCAGCAGTGAAATGACACAGCAGGAAAAGTCACCCAACACCTGGCATGTATTTCTTTTTTGTGCCACATAAATGCATTCATTGAGCTATGTGATATGCAAAGGAGCTTGGGGGTTAGAAGCTGAGGATAGGGTGAGCAAAATGGTTCAGCAGATAAATGGCTTGCTGCACAAACCTAACCACCTCAATATGGTCTCTGGAGCCCATGTAAAAAGCCAGATACCGTCATGTGCACCTTTAACCCACTACCTCTACTGTGAGATGGAAACCAGACAGGGGGGTGTCTTCGAAGCTCACAGGCAGCCAGCTGAACAGATATGTTAGGAAAAAAATAAAAAGGACCCCCCCCCGCCCCACCCGCCTGAAAAACAAGGTTGGAGAGGAAAACCAACTCCCAAAGCTACCGTTAGACCTCCGTATGCATGCCATGTGCGCGCGCGCGCGCACACACACACACACACACACACAGAGAGAGAGAGAGACAGAGAGAGAGACAGAGAGAGAGAGAGAGAGAGAGAGAGAGAGAGAGAGAGAGAGAAAGCACCGCAGGGATAAACTTTTTCTTACTTCTAAAAGTTGAATGTACTTGACCAGATCTCTCACAAATTTGTAATCTCTAAGAAGAAATTTTGAAACAAGAACAAGTCACAAGAGGAATATCAAAAGAAAGAAAACTCAAGTCTTATGTTTGTGAGGATCCAAGGGTCTTGAAAGATGCCTTGAAGAACCAGGGAGGCTTTGGCTGGAGACAGCATTTGAGCCGGGCCGTAGGACGTCTAGAGAAAGGGTGAGAGGAGGGAAGGAAGACAGTAAGACATTGTATGTGGCAGTGTGCTGTGGTCCAAGCAAGTACAAACCATAGGCAGGAAACGGGGAGAAAATGAGATGCCACTGGGCCCTGGGTAAGAAGTTTTCTAGCAGAGACGGGGGTTTGAGTGGGTGCAATGTCGCTTCAGGGGGGTAGGAAAGAGCTGAGAAAGGAAAGGCAAAGCAGGCATGGTCCTCGAATTTATAGAGCCAAGAAATAGATCTGGCAGAGAAAGGAGTAAGATGGCTGAAGGTAACGCTTAAAGCCACACAGTGTGGGGCTGGCAGGATTGCTCAGTAGTTAGGGCACTTCCTGCTAAGCCTGATGAACTGAATTTGATTCCCACAATCTACATGGTAGAAGGAGCTTCCTGAAAGCTGTCTTCTGACCTCCACATGAGCACCACACACACACTACACATGTGTGTGCAAACACACACACAGTTACATACACACATAGTCTGTCTCTCATACACACACACACACACACACACACACACACACGAAACTATAGATTAGTTTAGATATTTCACTGTAATATCTCATTTCTCTTCCTGTTAGTCTGGGGTATCTTCTATAGGTAAAACTAATGCTCAAAAAATAAATTGATATGGACTGTTTAAAGAAACTACTAGACAAGGCACATAGTGACTATCTCTCATTGTGATTTCATTAAAATAACTAAGCATCCTCTGTGTGTGTGTGTGTGTGTGTGTGTGTGTATGTGTGTAAAAATATCCTGAATTCATTTAATATTTTATTTCTATGCCATAGTGCAGTGTTTTCTTTAATATGCCCATCTGAGGTTCTATGTGTACTCTTTTATTGAAAAAGCGGAAGAGCAGCTGGAAAGATGGCTCAGTAGTCAAGACACTTGCTGCTCTCGAATAGGAACCCGGTTCAATTCCCACCATCCAAATGGTCACTCACAACAGTCTGAAAGTCCAGTTGCAGGGAATTCAATGCTCCCCTTTGGCATCTGAGGGTTTCTACATACATGTTCACATGTACATATATACAGGCAAAACACCCATAACATAATAAAAAATAAATATTTTTTAAGAACAGTGAAATAAAATTTCTAGATAATTTGCTTTGGAAATCAGGACTTGGGGGTTTAGTTGTCCAGTGATCTAATTCTAGCTGACTTTATTTTGAATTAACTCATTTTCTTTTTGATTTTTTTGTTGTGTTGTTTTTTTTTGGGGGGGGGGGTTTGTTTTGTTTTGTTTTGTTTTTTTGAAACAAGGTTTACACATCCCAGGCTAGGACGACCCTCCTATCTTCACCTCCTGAGCACTAGCCTCACAGGTGTGTGCCACCACACTCAGGGCTGAGGACTGAACCAAGGGCTTGGTGCACACAAGAGAAGCAATTTCCCCGCTGAGCTATCCCCAGCTCTATCTAATCTGGATTTGACAAAATTCAACAGTCATTTTACTGAACTTCTGGAACCTCAAGGTGTAAAAAAATATTGGCAACTGAGAAGTTGGGAAATAAAGGAACTGAAGATTGCAGGGCAGGGCCTTCCTTCTCAGGACTTTTCCTGGGATTGTCAAATGAGACTGCTAACTTCGTCTACAGTAAAGTTACCGCATCTCCCGGCCTCTCTGAGATCTACAGCTACAGCTAGACAGGTGAGGAGACCTCAGGAACCACCTGTCATCTTATTTAGCTTCCTTGGAAATGTCTGAGGATAATACCTTCACACCCACCAAAGGCCTGCATAGAAGTATTGCAAAGAATGGAGTATGACTCTTTTTATAATTTACTTTTTTATTTAAAAATTGTCAGATATTTTGATCATGTTTTTCCACTCCGCCAAACCCTTCCCAGATCCTACTAACTTCATGTGTTCTCTCTCTTTCTCTCTCTCTATCTCTCTCTCTCTCCCTCTCCTCTCAAAATTATCAAAAGTAGGAAAATCAAAACAACAAACAAAACACCAATAAGACAAAAGTAAAAACAAAACAAAAAGCACACAAAAGAACACAGAGTTTGTTTTGTGTTGGTCAACTACCCCTAGGCTTGGGGCCTGCCCTGGGGTGTGGTTGATTCACCCAGCATCACTCCATTGGAAAAAATGATTTTCCCTCTCCCAGCAGATGTCAATTACAAAGAACTTGGCTTGGGTGGGACTTTGTGTCCACTTCCTTTTCAATGCTCAGGTTGAAGTGTGACTTTCATACCCACACTTGTCCCCCACCTCCCACCATGTTTAAAGTTTGTATTAAAAATATTCTTTTTAATAAACTTTGACCCTTCTTGGGGAAGCTTGCATCCATGCTCTGGGGTGTGGCTTACTTTCCTTCTGGGAACCTTTTTGTCTTAACCATCAATCTTTATTAAGCCCTACTCTGTTATACTGGGAGTCCTAAAATTGTTTTCTGCATTGAAGCCACAAATACTAGTTTGGCCCAATGTGCTGTCCCCTAAAATATTAGAGAAACTCTTTGTTCTGCTGTGAGTAAATGGAGCTGTGGGTCCTTCTCTGTCCACCCTGTCAAAACTACCTTTATTTTTTTTTAACTACTAGTATCCCCTTATCTTAAGACCTTAAAGGAAATAGGTGAGAACAAACTATGTGCTCTGGTCCTATTCATGTAGGCAAGAAAACTACATTACACCCCTTTGTTTTACTTAGTCCTAAGTAAATCATATCAGTAATATTTAGTTCTAATGAAGACACTAGACATTATAAAAATTATACTGAGGCAGGAGAATAGGGCTGAGAGAGGTCCAGGAAAAACCTGAACCAAACATTGGGGCATAAAGGAAGACTGACTCATGTGGACATGTTACAGATAGGACAGCATTGGCAGAAAAAGCCCATACAAAAAATGTGTGCAAAACTGGGGCCACTTCCAGAGGACCCAGATTCGATCCCCAGCAGCCACATGGCAGTTCACAACTCAAGTTCCAGGGAATCCCACTCTGTTACACAGACATGCAGACCAAATACCAATTCACATTTTAAAAAAAAAGTCATGTGAGAAAGCTGGTACTAAGCATCAAGGGTCACATCCCTCCCAGCACACCACCACTGAACAGTTAATGTCCTTCTCAGCTCTGGCCCCCTTCCTCTGCAGAAAGCATACCCCTTCTTAATGAATGTCTGTGTTTGCTATAGTACAGATTTCTCTGTCCAGTTTTTCTTCTGGGATGCGGAAACCGGGAAATCCCAGCAAGGTGACCACCAGACTCCAATATTATTCTATATTAGTATAAATGACAAAGCATGGGTTGTATGTTTCCCAGGAGTGGACAGTCATACCTCCTAATTACTATATGATAATGAACAGATTACAGTAAGGTAGTGAATAGGTTACCATAGGATAATGCCAACACTACCTGCACTGTTGTAACTGGAGACAGACTTGTAAAAGGGAGAGATCAGTTGCTTTAATTATCCCCGGGTGTAATACTGCCTTGGTCTTTACAGCAGGATGCTCTACTTAGTCACTGTGTTAGAGCAGGCTTTCTTTGGTTGCCCCTTTTATTGTAACACAGCAGAGCTACAGGTAAGTGGTTTGTCGGGTGATGACTCTCTGCACTTAAGTTCTAACATACCTCACATGAGCATTAACGGAATGCACGAAGTGCCACAAAAAAACCTAGAGAATTCAAGTTGATCTCAGATAGGAAGGAACACATCTTTCAGTGCACCTCTACTTGGCCCCGGCTTCCCCAAATGGGCAGATATCCCCTTCCATGATCTTTATGGCTTTCTTAAGAAACTCTAAGGTTGGCTCCATAGTCTTGACAAACTGTTCCAGTTCATCTGCAGCTGTTTTCAGCGGCTTGTCGACATCCTCAGTTCTTAGGGCATCTCGCAGCTTTCTCAAGGCATCCTCTGGCATGATTTGGGGACTTTCTGGACTCGTGCTTTTCTCAGTTGTGGCGGCACCTCGCTGCTTTTTGGTCTCTTCTCTATATAAGTCACTTAATCGAAGACCCATGATGGGGAACTTTATCAGGAGTGAAAGTGAAGTTTCCAGACTCCCAAGGAGAGGACTTCTCAGCACAGAGGCAATAACTGGTGTCTGGATATTTTTGAACATTTCTTTCGCTGTGTTGTGTGGACCCACGGTGGCACACTTCTCCACAGCAGTCACCATGTTGAAACACAATGACTCCTTTTGCATTTGTTTGTGCTTTTTATCAACCATAGCTTGCATCTCTTTAAAATTTTTGACCATTTGTTCAAAGAAATCTTTAATGTAACTATCTTCATTCAGATCCATTGGGCGGATCTGAGTCTTCATCTTGAGGTTAAACAGTTCAACAAACTTATTTATGAAGGATACCAGATCTTTTATGTGTAAGAAGAATAATTTGGCAGCTTGAATCAGTCTCTGTTTGTCCTTTTCTGACTGGAAAGACATTTCTCCAACCAAGAAATTGCAGCCCTGTTAAGCAAAGCAGAAGTCAAATGAAAACTAAAATTGGAGTTGGCCACCATGAAGAGGCTAAAAACATGCTTTAAATACAAAGCCCTGACAAGGATGGGAAAACTATCCAAAGCTGAAGCAGACACGATTCTGGGCTTTATCTAGAAAGAGTAACAGAAATCATTAAGAGGGTAGAATAGGAAAGTCTTGCTGAGTGTGTACCACCTACATGTTGGGTAGCTAGCTGGGCATCAGCAGGCTTCGAGGCCGTGGAAGATGAACCCTCCCTCTCATAACCAGCTTCAGATCCCATTTGTCGTTTCCCTGGTAACACACTATTTTTACAAAGGGGGAAATGTCACATTTGTCCTTCTTAGAATTGGAAATACTCATCCTTAGCCATCAGGGAAATGAAAATCAAAACAACTCTGAGATACCATCTTACTCCTGTCAGAATGGCCAAAATCAAAAACACCAATGACAGTTCATGTTGGAGAGGATGTGGAGAAAGGGAAACACTTCTCCACCGCTGGTGGGAGTGCCAACTCATACAGCCACTTTGGAAATCAGTATGGCAACTCCTCAAGAAAATGGGAATCAGTCTACTAGAAGATCCAGAAATTCCACTCTTAGGCATTTACGCAAAAGAAGCACATTTATACAACAAGGACATCTGTTCAACGATGTTCACAGCAGCACTATTTGTAATAGCCAGAAACTAGAAGCAGCCTAGATGCCCCTCAACCGAAGAATGGATAGAAAAAATGTGGTACATTTACACAATGGAGTACTACTCAGCGGAAAGAAACAATGGAATCTTGAAATTTACAGGAAAAATGGATGGAACTAGAAGAAACCATTCTGAGCAAGGTACCCCCATCACAAAAAGACAAACATGGTATGTACTCACTCATATGTGGATTTTAGACAGAGTAAAGGATTACCAGCCTACAATCCACACTGCCAGAGAAGCTAGGAAACAAGGAGGACCCTAAGAGAGACATACATGGTCCCCTGGAGAAGGGGAGAGGTTCAAGATCTCCTGAGCAAATTGGGAGCATGGGAAGAGGGGAGAGGGAGCTAGGAGAATGAAAAGGGGAGAAGAGGAGGGATGCAGAGGACATGAGGGAGCAGAAAGGTTGAGTCAGGCGAAGAATAGAAGATAACAAGAATGGAGATACCGTAATAGAGGGAGACATTTTAGGTTTACAGAGAAATCAGGCACTAGGAAAAGGCTTGGAGATCTACAAAGATGACACCAACTAACAATCTAAGCAACAGAGGAGAGGCTACCTTAAAAGCTCTCCCCTGATAATGAGATTGATGGCTGACTTATATGCCACCTGATAGCCCTCATCCAGCAGCTGGTGTAAGTAGAAGCCGACACCCACCGCTAATTAATCACTGAACTGAACTGGAATCCAGATGCAGAGAAGGACAAGTGAAGA